GAACGAAACGATCTGAGTCATAGGAATAGCGAACGACAATCCCACCATTAAATAAACAAGAATGTTTTCAGAGTCATTGCTATGTAACAATCTGAAGTTTCAAGTTTGTGTGATGTCATAATTGAGGAACCCAATATGTCTACTATGTCATCACAAAGGTGCAACTGGGCAAACAACAACTGAAATCAAGCGAATCATAACTTGCATCCTGGGTAAATATGATGATTGCCAGCTTTTGACACGCAAACAAAATATAAATTCATTCTTCTTGTATCAAAAAGTGAAATATAAAATAAGTAATTGTTTGAGCCAATTGCCAAATCTTCCTAGTCGTAGTAAAATTTAAATCTTACTTAGTCTTAACACAACACAAATATGTTTTCAACGCCGCATAGCGAATGAAATCAGAAAATAAACAATTGAGACAGTGTGCTATTTATTATATCAGCATATCTTATTCAATCTGTTTAATTATTGAATTATGTAGGTTTTTTAACGACACCACAAAATTAGATTTTAAATCTCCCCTCCTCCACGCAGTTGATATAAATTATAAAGCACCTTGCTTGTTTGAATTCACATTTTCAGTGGAACTACAAAGCGATGAAATTTTTATCTCGAATCCTCAATAAGTTACTTGAATAAGTGCGATTGCCAAGAGGCTGGAGCTTTGAATTTGACTATACTATGTCAGCATTGAAGAATAAGAATGATCCCATTCCTATTCATGAACCTGCCATAAACTGATTATTGTACATATTGTCGTTGTGCCGCACCTCTTTGTTTTGTGTATTGTACTAGAGTTTTATCTGTACATTTCATGTCTGATGTCCTATAACGCGGCAGTTCTAAACTGCATCTATACTTGTTAGGGGTGCATGTCGCACATCTGTGTCGTAGGCCAGTAAGGTCTTAAACATGCATCCCGTCTCTGTTATACTGTTCAACTATTTTGCAGATACTGAAACAGATGTCGAAACGGAAAGATTCCGGTCTTTCCAGAAAATACTCGCTCCCTACTTAGCCGTGGAAAACTTGTAAAGAGTCTTGTTTGGATGGTGGCGTATATTACGCTGTATAAAATTAGGGGTGGAATTTTTCCCCTAGGATATTATGCAAAAAACGGTACTCCCGTGGTGTGTGTACAAGGTTGGGATTAGGCCATAATTTTATTCAAATTTTCCTTATTTTAGTTCTATTATGAGTTCGGAACTGTCTGTGTTAGCCAAGTGAATATACCCATTCCCATACCCCAGATTCTGCGGTGAAAAATCAACCTTTATTTGCTTAGCGGTTTAAAAATAGTCGACGTTTACCACATGTTGCTGGATAAACTTATTTTGATTTGGTCCCGTTAACAAAGGATACGGTTGATGGGGTCTGGGGTCAAAATGGCGACCTTGGACAAGTCAGGAAACATGAAGAAAACCGCCATTTTGAATCAATGCCAGTGACCCAAATGCGTGAAATATTTGGCTGAGAACAGTATTTGTTAGTTGAGTTATGAACGAACATAGTATTGGGTCGATGATCAGTGCGTGAAACTATTTTGGCGTCACAGGTTAGGGATGTTGTCAAGTAACTGTGTAATTCTAACACAAATGAAAACACTCGAGTATACAAAATCCCAAAATATGACACTCTGACTCTCAGACTCTTATGCGACCTTGGTATGTATGTATGTATGTTTATTTGCCTCAAAAATGTAACAGTATCTGCATAACAGTTAAACGGTAAGAGACGGGATACATGTTCAAGACCTTACTGGCCTAGGACACAGATGTGCGACTTGCACCCTAACAAGTATAACTGCAGTTTAGGACTGCTGCGTTATAGTAGGACAACAGACATGAAATATACAAATAAAACTCTTGTACAATACACAAGACAAAGAGGTACGGCACCACGATGATATGTGCTATGAACTGCATGTACGTTTATATCATATGTTTCATACATTTATGCGATTTTGAAACTGTTTAGGAGCGTACAGTAATTTTTGTATGAAAGTATAAATATATAAATCCAGAAACTTTTTTTGTAGATGTTTTTTTTCGTATCTAAAATATTTTAGATTAAAAGTTGCTAAGTAATTCAGAGACGTGAACCGAACTGTTCAAACTAAATATAAAGTCGTAAAGATATGCGTAACCATCGATAATATGGGAGTATCCGACTATCTATTAATTAGATGAAGATATATAGAATCAAGCAACAGGGTGTCAAAACAACTACTGAATATAAAACAATTTAACACAAGATGTAGTACACTTAAATGCTATAGTATTGACATCATACCATGTTGAATTTGAGTTGGGTCGCGCGAGACTAACTTCCTATCTTTTCTCTGTGCCTTTATGCTAGTGGATTCGTATGCGTATACTGCAAGGATGCTGTAGCTAGTATAAACATGGCCATTGTTGTAAACTGCTTGTCTGAGGAAGTCTGACTCTGGTCGGACGAAACGTTACAGAAATACATTTGTATTAGTGTGCAGCTGGACTCTTTATTTGGATAGAATACCCATGTTGGCTACGCAATTTATTACGTACAGTGTTGCACTGAATGAAATACGTTGGCGAATTAAAATTTAAAGAAAAATAAAATAAAAAACACAGTTAAAAAGCAGTGACTAGAATAAATTATTCTATACATAGAGATAATCTGTTGTTTGTGAGATTAAGTAATAATATGGTATCAGTTATTGATAAAATACGACAGTAATTGTCATAACAGACGAATGTATGTTTGATAAGCTTTGCTTTGTGTAAACTTCAAGTAGAAGGATAAAATAGTAGTACAACATGTACATTACAGATATACGTAATCAAATGAAGTTTTACACAGACAAGATTTTGTCAATACCATTAAAGGCTTTACATTTATTGCACCTTGAAATGGTTGGCACGGGTTTAGATCATTGGATTTTTCGATGCTAATATAATTAGATCTAAAGTTTTAACCACGTGGTCAACGCGCCATATTTCTTTATGTCTACGACATATGATTTGATTCACATTTATCTTCCCGAATTTAAAAAATAAAAATAAGCTCCTCGGTTTCCATTATTACTGATCCCAGTGAACTAAAAAACATTTCGAAATAAAAATTACTTGGGTCAAGATATTTGTACTACCTTAAAAGGCAAAGCCCCCAAACAATAGAGAAAAAATAGAATACGGGAGTAACGACATTCTAAAATCCACGACCATAAAAGAAAAATTAAATTCGCCATTGCTACATAGTATTGAATAAATTATTTCAACCGCACCTTAATATGAAACACATCAATCATAATTTATTTTTACAATCGAGGAAATCGCAAAGAAGGGAAACTTAGTGTATAAAGCATTTTGCTATTATTTTAAAATACTATTATAAATAGGTAACAGTCAGACATCCGCTATACGAATTTGGCGGCAAATTATGAATCTGAAAGCCAATTTGGCGCAAATTTTATTACATCAATTATTCCGTCATAAAGCCTAAAATGCAGAACAACAAATATTTACATTTTTCGGTTTCCTGTTTGTTATTATGTCGTAACAGTCGATCCGTAACTCACGTCACAAACAAAAAATATAACAGAAACATTTCAGGCGGTTTCCGCAATTAGGCTTCATCCGTTTTAAAAATTAATGGCCACAACTTCTATCGACAGAATACGGTTATAACAGATTTAAATGGAATACAAATATAATAATAATCGTACTGGGTGGGCTATGCATTCTTTCTCATATAAGGTGTCCATAAAGTCTTGAAAAGATTTTAAATTGAAAAGGAAATTTATCAATAACATATATTGTTTTGGCCCTCACAGATGTATTAAATGAAGTAAAAATACTTGAACAATCACTGATTAAAAACAACAAACCTGGTTAAGATATACTGAGAACTGACTTCATAACAAAATTGAAACTGTAAAGAGACTTTATAGACACCATGTATATGACTTTGTAGTCAGTGTCAGAATAATAACTATTCCCATATCAGACATGGACTGGTATACAGACGAGAGGATGTGGTTCGGCATATGGGTGAACCCTCCCTCTCTCTTATGCGAACTTGTAATGACAAATGCCGGGGGCTGTGGCAAAATCCTCTGTAGGACAAAATCTTCCTGTAGGCCTTCCTCTGTCATTGGATGAATCAGAAACCACACACGGCCACTATCTATATATACGTATATACTTTCTGTAAATTCTTTCTGCAAATATTTTAACGTGATCCTGGCCTGTATAATTACAATATATTTAATACGTTGATATAAACCGTTAGAACAAACGAAAATTTATCGAAATCAATCGTGCCTTCAAAATATCGCTAATTGGGGGACCGTGATAAGTCCAGGAGCATATAATGACGACAAAAATTGGAAATCTGAAATTCAATTTGTTCCTTGTAGTTCTGTAGGTTCAAGATCTATTCTATGGAATGTCTCTATACACTGTAACAAAACATGTTCTCAATGTATTTTTTTCTTACTAAGACTATTATACTATTCCATACTACATTTCTATAAGAAAGCTTCACGTTAGACGAAGTATGTGAAATACAAAAGCCTACTTATGGTGTGTGGCAATAACTAAGATGGCGAGAAGTTATCAGGAATAAAAATTATCTTTTTATATTATCTATGCATCAAAAATATATCAGATCTCTAACTGGGAAAATGAAAAATTGCAATCTTCGAATTGTTTTTATTAGTTAGGAAACTAAGTTGAACTATTCATCATTTCGAACCGAAACTGCCTCTGAGAATATTATATTGTAATGCATCATACTTTAAATAATTTATATATTAATTTATAACAATCTTTTTCCACGAAATAGCAAGTATACTTTTGCATTTCCGTGATAATGTTACCCTAAACGAAGTATGTAAAATACAAAATATAATGTCACTTAGGATACCTGGCAATAAGTAAAACGTGGAAAACTGTAAGATAATAAAACTGAATGATACAATTTGAGACTAAAATCATTCGTAATGTACTAACCTGCATTAGCTTCAATTGATGACGCAGACTTGGTCAGCTTATCATTCACAGTGTGATACTTCTTAGATGACGTATTCTTTATGACGTCACCGGTCGAAACGTCATTAGCACGTTCAATTTCAATATCCGATAAAGTCAATGCTGAATTAGGTCGACTGCTTCCGGGCCCTGAACTTATCCCTGATGGCGATTTTGATCGTCGTCGATGAATATAATCTCGAGCTGTGATTGGTCCGTTGCCCACGCATTGTGTGTCATCAATGGGATATAACGAATTTACATTGTTTCCATTCTGACGTCTTGGGTGACGTTCCTTTAAACGTACTACGTCACCAACTTCGCGACGATGACGTAGCAATAAATTTTTAGGGGATGACACACTATTTGATGATAGGCTGTTACGGAACTGTTTTGGTTGAAAACTGACGTCATCTATCATTACGTCATTATTGTTGTCGCCATATTGCCAATTAGCAGAATTACGATTCGATTCGGAAGAAAGAATTTCGCTGACCTGAAATTCAAAAAAGCATGCAGTTCAAAATTGTTGAAAACAAGAACAAAGAAGAAGTTGAGCGTTTCTATTTAACAGGGAAGAATAATGCGCAACAACAAAAACACAAGCAAAACATACAGTTGGATTCACAAAGTTACTAGAATAACTAGGTTAGGTATTTTTCTACTGAAGTACATTGGCCCGATATCCTTGTGCATAACCTCCGACATGAGGAGTTCATTATAATAATACTCGTCTGATAAGTTGAAACCAGTGGACCAGCCATGATTTTAAGAAAACTATATATTCAATACTTGCAAAAAAAATTATATCGTACATATTATTAGTAGAACACCGAATGAGGGAAATCATTTTAACTATTGTTCAAATTGCATCTGCATAACCCATGAGATGAGGACCCAGAGTTTATTCGAGCTGGAATCGAATCAAATCAAAACTTGTGAACTAGTTGAGATTTATCGTTCGAAAACTAAGTGGACTGCTTTCTTAAAACTTTCATCTCACAGCGGAACAACGAATCATGAAATATCATTTCAAAACCCAAAATAGGACCCGCACATAATGTTTAGCAGCCACAACTTAAGCTACTTTTCATTTCTGACTTAACAATGCAGTTGATAAATTACTTCTATGACAGCATAATGTACAATTGCTTATGCCTGAGCAAGCATTTAACGCATGACTGCATGTCTTCAAATATTGACAGTTCAATGGTTAATCCGTCAATCTGACAACGCAAAAAGACGCAACTTCATAATTGACTTTACGCATATGGTTTTGGAAATTAAGCGAAAATATTTAATCTTCGGAATTCAAGGTAATCCATGTCATATAATTCCAGTAAATCCATGCATTATTAATATATCAAATCTTCAACAACCCATTTTGTAATTGCAATCTTTAAATTGTTTTTATTAATTGGGCGACTAAGTTGAACTATTTATTATTTTGAACGCGAAATAGCCATTTATATATCATCATACAATACAAATTTTAAAAAATGTATTATAAATAGGAATAATTCTTCCTCAGATAAAAAGTTTCTAGACTCTGAATTAACTGATGAAACTCGGTGTTCGTTTATTCATTACATATCGTTTGTTAACAGCCCGTTATTTATTTAAACTCTGCTTGTCCTTTCATGACATATGGCTACGTAGAAATATATTATGACGTAACAAATGAGTGAAATTTTGCCGAGAAGAACGCAGTATTCATTTGGCTACATTCTTATGTAATATAGTTTGTCTGTGCCACCTTTTTTCTTCATTTCTGCTTGATTTGTGAAGTTGTACAGCTCATGTTGTATAGAGTTACTTGCTAACTTACTGTTATAAATCGATTTCGGAAGAAATATAAGCGATTAGGTAAAGGAATACAAGAGAAAAGTGCAGAAAACGAACTTTTGCGTGATTGGGATGTCATTCCCTAACAATTTTCGTGTCTTGTAAACTGTGCAACTGCATCACACATGTTTTTATCTACATATGCTTGAGAATCTCTGAGCTATATATGATTATGTGATCTTCTCAGTTATGAACTTTATTACGTCTCGTAATAGAAGTAGCCTGAAAGATGAAACAAGCAGTTCATGCATTTATTTGAAAGTTACAAAATATAAACCCAATGTAAAATCAGCGGTAATGCAGCAGAAGAAGTCTAACTGATATAGAATAGGAAAAGTATTCAAATCTATTTCTATTTACTAATATTTATCCGAATAGTGAATCTGTCTGTACATATTTAAAAAGTTTATTATTATGTATTTTTGCTTTAAAAGTAGCAAAGTATTGTTTTTAATTTTGGTCGGCACACGTAAGAATTTTGTCATTAAATTTAGCCTATTTTGGCACGCGAGCCGAAAAAGGTTGCCCATCCCTAATCTAGTTCAAGTATCCTTGTGATAATTTTCACATACGTATTCGAAGTGAAAAGTAGACAAGGGAAGACATGTAGTTCAATACGCAGTACCATCTACAACAGTGGTTTTCAAACTTTTTAAGTCGCGCCCCCATTTTGGAATTGGTCAAGTCTGACGCCCCACCTCAAAAATAACTAGCTAACAATAAGCTACAAATAACAGATATTAAGGCGAAAGTATGTTTTATTCAGGAACACGTTGAAAATACGTTGGTGGAACGGAAATAATGAAATAAATAAAAAGCTTTGGAAACAAATAAGGCGGACAAGATCAAACCTAACGAATATTTTTATTTTTAATTAGCTCCACGTCCCTCAAAATTGCCTACGCCCTCTTTGTGGGACGCTGATCTACAACAAGTGTAGTTAGTATTTATTTAATATGAAATATATATCAAATACTCAACGATTCTAATTTGGAAATTTTATCCATAAATTTTCCGTTAATGTGGGTGATTTCAATTTCACTGAAGATGGGTCGATATTATTGAATTTATTATTAAAACAGAAATAACAAAATATTTTATTATCGATGTGACAGGCGGGAGAACTCGTGAAAGAAGAAACAATTTAGATCAATTAGATAAATTTGTTCAAAGTAAACCCACGAGGAAAATTCATACTTAATCAAGTAACAATACGTCGATTTCTATCAATGTTTCGTTACTCGCTCAAAACATTGATGGAAATAGGAATCAGCTAATTTTCAAAGTGCACATTTGATGCAAGAAAATTTTACTTTTTGAGCTTATTAATTATCCACCTTCCTTGCTTACTTTGATTCAAGAAAGATCTCAAATATGAGAGTACATTAATCAACTTGTAGAGAATGACAAAATTGATACCAAATCTTTTCATCCGGCATTTTCCTTCAACCCCAAACAAAGCTCTGCACAGACAGCCACTCAACTTAAGAAACTACTACTGTACGCAAGGATCGGAATCATGGCTACATAATTTATTACAACCTTGGTCGAGGTGTTGGGCACGGGAACAACAGAGTCTGTTTACTTACAAAGCACAATTTTTGATTTGTTCATGTCAATTATCTTCCAAAAAATTGATGACAATTGAAATCGACCACTTTGGTGAGCTCTAATTGAGAAATTAAACTTTTTAATAATTCTACACCAAGCTATGTATGTACGTACCAAACTATTTCTATGTAAGTAGATACGACAGTGAACGCAGAGACAATGACGGAATTAGTCAATTCCTCCAAACAACAAAAAGATATTCACATATTTGATGTTTATACGTAGTTTTCTGTGACATTAAATACACGCAGAATGACAGTAGTAAGAGGTCGGGATATATTCTATACGGTATATACGTTTATGCTCACACAATATTCTGCACTGGAGAATGGTAATTTGAGATGGTAATTTGGAAGCGCCTGAATCTTTCCTGTTTAGCATTGCCTACAAATTTATTACACCCTGGAAGATAGTGGCGATAAAAATGGAATCCCTTACCTCCATGTCGGCATCCCGATCAGATGCAGTTGTTTTATATCTCTCTTTCGTATTGTTTACGTCATTATAAGTAGTGATGATGTCATCACCAGCTTGAGAACAAGGAGTTTTCGTGGTTGGATATTCAGCTGGAAGTATATTAAACATAAATACACACAAATACAACCAATCACAAGCCAAAGTATTTTCACAGATTTCCATTTTTCAGTTTATAGGTCAATTTAGATTGCTAACAATAAAATGTGAAGGATTCGAGACTATTTAAATGTGAAGGTGATTTTGGTTTTCCACCTCATTTCATTCCCATAGGGCTTTGGTCTAATTATATTATTTTTAACACGGAAATGTCTATTGAGCGCCCCCGTTTCGGTGCAGTTTATTAGGTGCGACCTTTTGGGCGCCATTCAGTTTGGTGCCATTCGCGCTTTTTCACAAACTTTCAAGTTTTATTGAAAATTGTTAGGGTTGGAAAAAATCTTCTTTAATTTATAAATAGTATCAAATTCATAAAAATAACTCTATATTCGATATTCTGTATTGTAATTGGTCCAATAAGACAGATTTATTTGATTTCATTAAAGTTGGAACCAAATAGGATGACCCCAAACTTTATTTTTATTAATTTTTCAATTCGAACTTTTGCGCGTGCAAATACTGACTCAAAATTTCATAAAATTGATACAAAAGTCAATGTGACGTTATTAAAATTATTCAAGCATGAAAACCGAGCAAACACATCAAACAAATCAAAATAGGAATAAAATTAATAGAATATTCGAAAAATCAAGAATGATTTCGTAACACTGATGACGTCATACCTTCAAGTACGTCATCCAAAGCACGGAGACAACGAAGAAAAGAAGCTGAAGGAAAGGAGTGGAAGATGAATAAAGATAAGAATCAAAACTAGGTCAAAACTATAGTATCGAATATATCGAAAATTGGCTAGTTATATTGCAACATTTTTGACATACGCATACCGACCCACCAGCGAAAAGCATAAAAAAATTAGTAGTTTGCCCCACAGTTGAAACCCAATTGATAGAATATGTTACTGCTGTCAAGAGACTTCTGTATCCGTCAACGGATCCTACCGATTCAACAAATATTACACTTAGAATAATTCTAAGCTTTATGTTGGTATTTATTTCAATAGCTTTTAATAAATACCAAAAACGAGAATTTTTCCGGTTATAACCGCAACATAACACGATTTTAACGCGACAATTTATTCATGAAAGGCTTCAAAATTTCCGTAAAATCCATCTTTATTGATTCGAAATTTTGGTTTTGTACGAGAATGTGCGGTTCTAATCTAATCTAAGTCTAATCTTGTTAGATTGAGAAGACGACCGTGAACAACCACATTGTTACGTCACTTCAGATCTTTTCATTAGACCTGTGACGAAACAATTACAAGCTAACGCCTCCCGAGGAAGTTATGGATTGGCAATCAACAGAGCGTGAAAACATGGGCAAGCATCCGTGAAATTTAAGATCCCGCCAAATAAAATGAATAAAACATAATTAATGAGATCAACCGAGCGAGAAATACAATTTCCTAGAAAATGGAGTAGATGAAATCGGGATAAACGACACTTGTTTACTCTTACAATGATGACACCATATGACATTGAGTATATTAATGGCGTTTTACGCAGGCTTTCGAGATGGCTACTGTCCTACGGTTTTCCAAAATTCGAAAGTTTAATCCAAACGAGATAAATATATTAAATTTAGTAAGGCTACATAGCATCAACCGTGTTTGTAGGATTTTATGCGTGCTTACGCTGTCGTTATGTGGGAGTCATATTATCCTAAGATGCACCGAACACATTCTAATATGATGTCGAATAATTTAATTATATGGGGAACCACAAGCACGACTATGGTATTATTCGGATATCAATTATACTCCTACTAGACACTAAAAGACTCGGCGGTGACAAGGTGGTTTGCTTGTTCGGCCCAGCAAGTGGGTGGCCAAGATTAGAGCTTCAATGTCAAAGAGCGCACTACCACACCTAGAGTGTAATCAGTTCGGCAAGATATGGCGGACCAAAACATTCTGTCCCATAACATAATAGGGTACTCCCGTAGTGTGTGAACCAGGTTATGGTTAGGGCTGGGAATTTCAGGGAAAACACTTTAACCGTTAACCGGATAAAATTAAACGGTTAATGCAGCGTGAGTTAAATTCTACTGTGAGATATATATATATATATGAAAAACGGCATTAACTAGGCTCTTGTTGGTAGACATTGAATATGCGATTTTAAAATAAAATCGTGAACAAAATATTTGAACGAAAAACTGATTCATAATTATTGCCAAATTTTCATAATCAGCAATCTTGGTACTTTTATTACAGTTATTTTTCACATTTATTGGGTCTTTACCAATAACGTCAGTAATATTCTTTTGAATGAAACGCCACAGGAGATAAATTTGCGATGACGTAATCATTTTTGAAAGAATTATACATTATAATTATATCGTTGTCGAAAATTTCTACAAAGCAAAATAGATGAAGTAACGTCTAAAAGTTACCTGGACTAGATCCTTCTGATTCAGTGCTTCGATATCGGTTCGAAACTCCGCTATCCATTGAAGGAAACTTCCCGTTGACCTTTAATCTTTGATCACTTGACCCTGAACTTCCGCTTCCGTAACTTACACCATCCGTGCGTATGCGAAGCATAGGAATACTTTCTGGCTCACCATTGGGTTTTTGGGTTTTGTTCGCTTTTTGAACTTGTTTTGAGGCTCTGTAAGCATGGAAGAATAAAATATAAGTGTTTCTATATTGAAAAAAGAGGGAACAGAAATCCGATAAAACGGCTTATTTATATGACAAATGAAGTCTTCTCGCTCGGTTTTCAGACCAGACCAAGTCTGGGAATATGACCTACGCGGTTTAACGTTGCTGTTGTCCTAGAAAAATATTATTATCAAGACTGAAATGGGTACTTCCGTAGTATTGAACCAAGATGGCGGTAACGGGAACGTAGTATGTGTACCAGGTTAGGCTATAGCCTATAATTTCAGGTACAAATACTACGGGAGTCACTTGGCTAGTCCCCGAACTCGTAATAGAACCAAAATAAGAAAAATTCGAATTAAATTATTGACCTAACCCTAACCTGGTATACATACTACGTTCCGGCGCCAGCCATCTTGGTTTGCATACTACAGGAGTACCCTAAAATGTCCCTTGAATTAGATAATTACCCGCAGATTTATACCGAATTTATGAAATTGTATTATAACAGGATTTTTAATGACATGTTAAATTTTCAAAATTATTTGATAATTCGGTTCGTGCGAATTCGTAAAAAATATTTTACGAGCGTCAGAACCTTTAAAAATCCATCTTCTAAAAGTTTGAGAACTGCGGGAAAATTTTATTTCGAATGTTGTTTTTCTTCCAATAGTTCAGTGTTTTTAGCAAATGTATCTTTGAGCAAACTAATCAACCACCTACCTGGGTTTCACGGCCGGTGTTTCCAGGCTTGCTATGGTCGAAGCAGATAGTTGTGACGTCATATATTCTATTTGATGACGTCACTAGTTACGTAGCAACAGTGATTCCATAAAATTTATTCGGACGTAAATACCACTTAGATTATAAATAAATATTCTGCAAACAAAATTTCATTCATATAATAGCAATAAAGCGATGGTTTGGGTTATTTTTGAAATTTGTTCTTGTAAATGGTTGCAAGACATAGATTTAACGAGAACAATGACAAATAACTATGAGATACTGATCAGTGATTCAACTATTCTTCTTATAGGCTTTTGCACTGGTGGATCCGTACAATGCAAGGATAGTGTAGCAAAAGTATAAAGACAACTGACTGACATATCCTATTCACAAACACTTACTGTATGTATAGGACTAACTGCTTCATCTACTGGCACAGCTGACATGGGCAAACTACAACCCGCGGGCCAAATCCAGCCCGTTGGGTGATTCGATCTGGCCCGCCTGATGTTGTCATAAATTTATGCTTTTGACCAATTCCGCATGCACTACATAGTTGTTGTTATTGAAATCTGTATGGTGCAATAGGCTTGCCAGAATAGGGTCCGAAAACCCACCCATGCTCTACAGCAGGGGTAGGCAACCTTTTGTCGCTTGCGGGCCAAAATTACGGGTTGCAAGTCATTGGCGGGACGCACATATCTTTAGAAAGTTTAAAACCGAACGGATGATACTTTTTATAATAAAAATCAAGCAGTGATACATCTCTCGAATAGAATATGAATTTATTTCCCCATCACATTGCATCTCAAAAAGTTGTTTGAATATTTTGGGCGCCATTGAACCCTTCGCAATTAGCATCAATTTTTGTTTGTCATTTGTCTAATCATAATTAAATTATAAGCTCATTAAACGAGTAATTGTGATCCGGCCGGCAGGCCGTAGGTTGCAGACCCCTGCTCTGCAGTCTATTCCACAGGGCGTCATAAACGAACCAGTTAGTACGCCACAGAAAATCCGAAAGAACACATTAAAATCGTGAACAGTGAAAATAGGTTTAATATGTTTCGCACAATTGATACTGAAAAGATGACTAATATATATAGGTATTGAGAACCACGTCGGATATATTCCCTGAGGTTTCAATTCGAAGTCGTTCGTAAAATGGTAATTTATTTACTGGTATAGATTCCGCATTTGAAACGGAAATGTTAATTTATTTACCTGTTTAAAAGATTTTACATTTGAAAAGAAAAATGTAACGCAAATTTGAAAATTCGTCGGGTTTGAGCTAGAAATTAAAATTATGAAATGATTAAATTTGTTCAAAATATATTTGCAAGTCATCAATTTTTAGAACCAGAAACGTTAAGCTGCGATTTGGGGCGTTTTCAAACCTCCACTCCAAATATGGCCTTGTACAAGCAGCCACTGATACATTTTAACTTATAAAAAGTAAAACAATTAACTTTGAGTTGCGCGAGACTAACTACCTATCCTTCCTCTATGCCTTTATGCTAGTGGATCCGTCTGCGTATACTACAAGGATACTGTAGCTGGAATAAACATGACTATTCTATCCAATTCAAGAGTCCAGCTGCACACTAACACAAATGTATTTCTGTAACGTTTCATCCGACCAAGGTCGGACTTCCTCAGACAAGCAGTTTACAACGATGGAAAAAAATCAACTCATCTTATCAAGACATCGATTGTCAAACGATGCTTTTCACTCCAAACAAGGCCATGTACAAGCAGACGCAATATGTAAATTATTACTGTTTTTGGAAAGGTCTGGAATTTTTCCGAATTATTGTTCAGCTAATTTGTTACACACTGGATTTGTCCACCAGATCCTACTACACCAACACAGCTCGGTCCATTCCCTAAGTCGTCGTTTATGCCGACTTATTTGAGGGGTTGAATAAAATAATTTATCATATCCTATGATTCGGCTTTGATTTACCAACTTTTCCTTGAAAACTATGTTTTTCAAGCTTCAATATCCAGACGCGACAATGAGATACTAAAGTAAAAAATCTATCGACTGCCTGTCATTTCAATTCCTTTTTTTAAAGTCCTCGACATTGCTCTAGAGCTAGTCTCTCCTACTCCGTCTAACATGAACCCAATGACAACTCATGCCCCTTTTCTTCAAATATAGCTGTTTGTTTACTTCATAAGAATTCACACGTAAATAAAAATTGCTCTAGCCATAGCTTGCAGATAGTTAGCGTATTGAACCATACAATGTTTTGGTTTGGCTGCGTCGACGTATTTACCTCGAATTGTTTGGCATTGACTCTAAAATTAGCGTCTTGTGGACTGATATGAACGCAGTCAATTGTTTACTGTGAAAAATACAGGAATTTAATAAAAATTCACAAGTAAATGAAAATTATGCTTTTGCCAGTTTGGACAAGCTCTGGTTGACAGACAACGAATAGTTAGCGTGTTGAACGTAATTAGGTGGTTATAGTTTCTTAAAAATCTCTGAAAATCTGTGGTCCAAATGCCACCACATAACACGATATAGAATAAATAAGGACGACTTTGGAGTAGAAGGGAAATGCTAGCCCTTATAAGAAACGTAAGTAGGTCGGTCCGTGTGCACATTGATTAAGATTTTCCATTTGAAACTATTAAACAAAATGATAAAAAAAAGAAACTGAAAGAACATTGTCGTTTTAAAACTAGTACTAGTGTAGATACGCTAGAAGCCATACCTGTTATATGTACGACAGGCCATTCTCGTAGTAGGCCATTCACATGCCGATAAGGATCATATATCTATACCTTATCAGCTGTCTATATGAATGCTGAAGAGCCCCCTCGAATTGCCTCTGCGACCATATATCCATCGGTATTCCTAACATGCTATCTATATGTCAGCCCAATAGCCCTATGCAATGCAGGCCATTCAAATGTCTAATGACGTCATATATCCTTCCCTATTCCCAACCATGGTTGCTGGTGCGGTAGTTCGCATCATTAGCTGATAATACCCGTTCGTGCCGTAAACGTAAAACAACGCGACCAATTGTGCAAGTGACAGTGACTTTCCATCAACTTGAGATTTTTACCAGTGTGCGTCATTCCTTGTTTTAGGCTTTCGTTAAATGGCCGAATAAATAATTCAAGCAAATGTTTTAAAGTCACTTAGAGGTTTCGAGACAAATTTAGCCTTTACTACACTGTTATAAAATAAAGAAAATTAAAGAACATTTCGTGGTATTTTATAACGCCTTCAGGCGGTTTCGGATCGTGTTCAGCTTTGGTTCGAATTTTATAATGCACAAATTTTAAAATTAATTTCTTGTTAGCAACACGATTGACCACGGACCACATAACATTTGACCACGGACTACCAGGGAGATATCAAGATTGCGTTAGGGACAGAATAGTATTCTGATTTCGTGCTGGAAAATTGTAATATGCTTCCGTCGTTCTTGTACGCTTATCTTTTCAGCAATTACGGTATTCAGATTAAAGTCTTACTATACCTTTACCGATGCGCAACTTCGTTACCATATATTTGAACATTGTTCTCTTGCTATTCAGCCGTTAGGTCAAGTTCGGCAATGCGAAAGTAAGGTTGATAACGACCATTGCAATAGTTCATAAGGAAACTGCTGATTTAATTGCGAATGCTCGGTGCTGAAACTACATGAATATTTTATATGCATTGATGTGTAATAATACAGCGTAACAACGTCATAATTCAGCTGCAAAAGCATCGAAGCTGCAGAAAATTTTATTTACCTCCCCACTGCATCTCACCTTGAATTTTCGACGGTAATGTAGGAGACTTGGGAGGGGGGGGGGCTTTTTAATCAAACATGTGGAATTGCGACCTCGAGGTTTAAAACGTATTTAGGTGCAAACAATTAAGTCTAGTGTTCAATCACAATGCTTATATACCATAAAATCTATTATGATCTTATAATACATACATGAATAATTTAATATTGTGTAAGCATCGAGTTACATGGGCGGTTTTGGCTGCAGGCAGAGCTATTGAGTGACCAAAAAACAACGAAATATGATCTAATTAACACCATGCATGCGATTAACACACGTCATCGCATCTATCTATCAAACCAAATGTTTCCCAACCGTTGACCGCGGACACGTGTGAGTCCGCAAAAGGCCTGGTGAGTCCTCAGTCGTATTGGCTACATTGAGCATTTCTGAATGAAGAGAAATAATAATAATAATCGTGAATATTAATAATCGCCTTTCTTATGATTCCCATCTTATTAGTTTCGCAAAATCTCCGTTTGTTCATGACAATTGTCTCCTCTTCAATGCGCTGCAGCTATTGCGTCACAACAAGATTCATTCGAATGCATTTCACTGATCTCGAGTATCACTAACAATAATAAGTTAAAGTTGAGAAAGACTGATCTAACCTGACCCAGAGCATTTCATGAACCCCACTTCATATGCGTACTTTTTCCATGAGTTATATATATTTATATATTAAACCAGGGGTTCCCCGGGGCCGCGGGCCAAAATTAGAATCGGAAGGATGTTCGCGGGTTGGAAGAAACACGTTTGTTTGACTCATAATGGCGCTTTATATGGTATTGCCACAGAACTGGAATAGTTAGCAAAGTGGACAAATCGCTAACGTTTGATTCCTTTCAATACAGAAATACGAATCTTCGAAACTGAAAACCAAATTACTGCCTTTGTAATCCTAACACCGGTACGTATATTGAGATACTTATATAATCGAAATACTATGATAAACACGAGCTTAAACTGTGATAATGACATAACAATCGGAGGTTTCTAGATTGTAAAAAGGTAGAAACATAATCTGTTCACTTAAGCTCGGCGAGCCATTTTAAATCGTTACGCGGGCCGGATTTGGCCCGCGGTTTGGAACCCATGTAGGCCATAGCTTACCACGAAGTACCACGTCAAAACTCCTAATTTCCAAAAGCACCACCGATGCAGTAAAATGTTAATTTCGATGTCAACTCATTCCATCTTCAGCCCTTTTCTCTAAATTCCCCCTTTTGTCTATTTTGAAGCTCTAATTAATCCTCCATCACTATGCATAAAAAGTACTTTATTTATTCAGTAAATCTCCAATGTATCTTAAACTAGTGTTGTGTGAAAGT